GGAGAGAGAGAGAGAAGGAGGGAGAGGAGGAAGGGAGGAAGGAGAGAAGAAAGAAGGAGAAAGGGGATTTTAACGGGGGGCGCCGGGCCGGGGGCGCAGATCACAACGTCAATGCACATCGCATAAGGCAGGCTACACAGACGCTACTCTGCACCTTCCTCTCGCCCTCAACAACGTGGGTCATGCAAACCTCCGCATGCAAAACGCCAAAAAAATAGAACTCAACTCAAATCGTAATAAAAACCCAAAGGAAGGGGTGGGATGGGAGGAAAAGAAATAAATCCAAGGAAGCCCCAAGTCGTCGGGGAGGGAAAGCTTGAAGGGAAAGAAACAAACACCCCCCCCAACCCCAAAAAACACCTGGAGAGGGGATAAAGCAAACCCTGGTGCCCGCCCGCCCCGACCAAGAAAGGGAAAGGGAAAAGGGGGATAAAACCCAAACGAAGGAAGGAAAATGGGGGGAAAATTAAAAAAAAAAGAAAATATGAGAGGAGGGAAGGTGGGGCAGTGGGGGAGAGTAAATCAGACTGAGCCGAGGGGAAAGGGTCGAACCAAAGAGGGCTGGAGGTGATGGGGTCTGCTCACACAGAGGCATGCACATATATAGAGATATATGTTCTGATACGTGTAGATTTTATCAATAGTACGGCTTTTGGCTTAAAACAAATCCAGAAACGAGGAAAAAACGGCACAGAGCGACAATGGAGGGCAAGGCAGGGGAGGGGGCCGGGGGGAGGGGCGAGAAGGCATAAAAGAAACCAACAAAAAAAGAAAGAAGAAAAACCATCCAAATCAAATCAAATTTTTTTTTTAAATAATAAAAATAAATAAATAAAAAACAAAGCAAAACTTCACAAATGTCCTCGTTACTGAGATAAACGAATGTCTCTGAGCTCTTCCTGGGACACGCATTGAGCTGTTAGCTGTGACTCTGCAGGGAACTGCTAAGTCCTCATCAGCACTCAACACAGACTTTGCTTTCTGCTTCCTTTTTTTTTTTTTATTTTTTCCATTATATGCTTTTTTTTTTTTTTAAGTCCCTCTTGGTTAACATCCACTTACCAAAAAAGTGGCATTTCCTCCTTTAGTAGGTAAGGTATGAAGAGAAGGGAAAAGCGGGGCAATATAAGTGCATCATTAGATTCACAAAAATGCAAGAGAGAAAGAAAGAGCGAGAGAAGGAGGAGAGACAGAGACAGAGCCAGAGAGAGGAGAAATAAAACAAACCAACTCACTTCTCCTACGGGGAGGGGAAACCTTGGCCCACCACCGTGGCCAAGCCCTGAGCACTGAGACCTCAAGGGATTTTGCCCAGCCCTGAGGCTCCCAAATATCTCAGCTCCTCTGAGCCACAAACGCTGCCTGGGTGTTCCTCCCATCTTTGCAAACACCACGAGACCAAAAAGATGGGTGGAAACAGCTCTTGTAACACCAGTCCTGCCCAAGCTGGCAAACCCCAGCTCAGGGGGCTTTGGGGTCTCCTTCCCCCCAGCCACAGCCCAGCGCCAGGTCCCTGAGAATCCCTGGAGGGTGAATCCTGCACAGGGCATCCCTGAGTCCAGCCAAGGGATCAAAAGGGGTTCAGGGATATTGGGATGGTGCCAGGATTGTGTCACCATGCCCAGGGCTGGTGACCCCTGTTCCTCACCATCCCACCAATGAATGGTCAGTGAATCCTCGAGGCTGAGCTTCTCTCCACCCATCCCACTGTGTTCTCAATGCCACTTTTCTCCCCCCAAAAAAGAAGGGGGCAGGGTGAAGGGCTGGGATTCTGGGGACCACCACGAAGATGCTGCAAAAGGGACACAAAGCTTCCATGTCCCTGAGCATCCCAGACTGCTCCACACTCCACCACCTCTTTGTCCCCGTGGAAAAGGCAATCCCTCCAACCACAGAGCAGCAAGCTGCAGCCAAAATGAGGGGATTTGGGGGTTTTATTAAAAACCAGTTGCTGTTGCAATGGCTGCAGCAAGGGGGAGGCTGACAGTGATGATCAGCCCTGCCCAGCTGCCCTGCAAGGATCTGATCCAGGGGGATCAGCAGCCACAGAAAGGGGGACCAGGGGAGCCCATGCCCAGCCCCACATCCCAGGAGAGGAACATTAAAGCAGAGAAGATGATGATGAAGAAGAAGAAGAGGACGATGAAGAGATAAAGAGAGGGGGTTCCTCTCTGCCAGGGTGGTTTTTTGGCACTGGCTGGCCACTGGCCATGCCATGGGCTCGGGCTGTGGGATGCAGGGCTCCCACCCAAACCCTGGAGCCTCCTGCCCTGGCGTGCAGGAAGGCAGCAATGGTAAAAGCATCTCCAATAAACCCAAATTTCCAAAGAGGGAATTTCCCTCAGCCTAAGACAGAAATCACACACTGGGCACCTGTGGGAATGGGACAGCCAGGGCAGGGATGCTGTCACCTGCCCCTCACAGGCTGGCATGTCCTGGACCTGCTTCTCTCCACACAGAAAGATTTAAACTTTCCCTACTGCAGCCTCTCTCAGTATTTTCCCTAAGCTGGGTTTTTTTCCCCCTGAAGAGGGGCTAAACCCACACATCTCCCCAAATTTCTCATTTATTACCCCATCCATCCACCCCAAAACCCCCTGTGCCCACTTCTACCCGTGGCCACTGCCCCTGTTTGTCCCTAAATATCTTCACCTTCATTTAATGGGGGATTGAAAGGGAACAGCCGTGCTCGGCCCCTGAATGGAAACAAACACAAATTCAGAGGGCTGAAAGACACAGAAATGCATTCTACCGACAGCACGAGGAGACGGGGAAGAGAAAAGGGGGGAAGAAAGAAAAAAATATTACGTGGACAGGGCAAAAAATATATATATAAAAAAAAAAGAACGTAAGAGAAGAGCATGGCTTTGCAGCTAACTGGGGAAAACCATACAAATAAAAAAAAATAATTATATATAGCCACCAAAAAGAGACAAAATGAGAGACAGAGAAGGGGAGTGAGAAAGAAAGAGAAAGAAAGTCAGAAAGAAAGAGAAAATAACATTAAATCAAGCTACGGTGCTTTTCAACAGGCTCATCTGCAGAAGTGAACGTGCAGAGGTGGACAAAATACCTACCTTTGGAATTGGCAGTGACAGGAATGCAATAATAAAAAAAGAAAACAATAATCTCCACATTTGGAGGGCAGAATGGGAAAAAGACAAGGACTCTTTAGTACGGCGATCCAGACCCCTCGGCTAATCCCGTTTGCTTTGCTTAGAATTTTTTAAAATCATTTTTAAAATTGGTCTCTTTAGCTTCTAATTTTTATTCTCTTTTTTAAAAATGTTTTGTTTGTTTGTTTGTTTGTTTAATTGGAAGGCTGCGGCCTCCGCCGAGCGGGGGGGCCACGGTGGGGGTGGCTGGCTGGTGTCTGTAACCCGATCAGGCTGCGGTTCACTCTTTCAAAGTCACTCTATAAACATGGCAAAGTCCCGGGTAACATGCAGGGAAGGCGATGGATGGAGGTGGGACACGGCGAGGGATGTCGGGGTGTGTCGGCCCAAAGAAAACCGGAGAAAGAGAGGGGCTGGAGGGTGCGTGTGGGCGAGGAGGAGGAGGAGAGACCCAGGAGGAAGGCTGGGAAGGCAGAGGGGATGGATGGAGACAGGACTGGGTATTTAAAAGGGGCACCCAGCGGCTCTGGGGGTGCTGGGGTGGGCACCGGAGCTTTTGGGGGGTCTGCGGGAGGTGGGGAGGGGGCTGGGGACTCATCCTGTGGGGATGCAGGATGCGGGATAGCCCCGCAGCCCGCGGCCTCATCCTGCAGCCCGGCAGGAAAAGCTGGCCGCGGCAGCAGCATCCAGCCGAGGACACCAATTTGAGGAGGAAAAGGGCAATTCGCTCCTTTGCAGTGCAGAGCTGCTGGGTTCTCTTCCCTTTTAAATTCCTTGTTCAAAATATAGAAAATGGAAATACAATGTTCAGCGGCCGTAAATATTTAGAAAACACATCGGGCTTATGTTTTTGTTTTGTTTTGTTTTTGTTTTTTTTTTTTTTTTCTTCTCCACATTAACACACACAAAAGCAAAAAATTCTAGAACAACACGACGACGACGGGGTGGGGGGAAATAAAAATAAGAGAAATATATATCGTTTGCATTTCTGTACATCACAAGGGAAAAGAAAATAAATCATGAGAAAGGAAACTAAAACAAGGGGGCGGGAAAAAAAAGCACGTTTCATTGCCCTTCCCTCCCCCTCGTCCCTGCTTCTGCTGAGCAAGAAATGGAAGTGTATATTACCGTTTGGGTTTTTTTCAAATGGGAGGCTAAAGAAAAACACAGATGGGATTAAAAAGAAAAAAAAA